CCCTTTTAAACTATTGTCTTTTTTTTTGTTTTTTTTTTTTTATTACAGATTCTCAAAAGGATCCCCTAAGTGGTCCCTCAACCTCTTTGCTTTGCGGACTGTTGTACACAATTTCATAAGACTTATCTGTACAAACTTTAAATATGGCTAATCGAGGAGGAGCCACAAGACCCAATGGACCTAATGCCGGAAATAAAATCTGTCAGTTCAAGCTCGTCCTACTAGGAGAATCTGCAGTTGGAAAGTCTAGCCTAGTGTTGCGCTTCGTAAAAGGACAGTTCCATGAATTCCAAGAAAGCACAATTGGAGGTTAGAAAATGATTCACTACTGTTATCTGTGTTTCACCTTTTTATAGTGTTTTTTTGTTTGGGCATTTCTATACTATAATACAACTTTACATGCATACAATACTTTACTATAACATTTACAAGTTTATTTAACCACTTGCTGACCAGGTGTTTATACCCCCTTCCTGACCAGGCCATTTTCCAGTATTCAGCGCTGCAGTACTTTGACATTTATTCCGTCATGCAACGCTGTACTGAAATTAATTTTATAAAATTTTTTGGGGACAGATAGAGCTTTCTTTCGGTGGTATTTAATCACCACTACGGGTTTTTTTTTTTTACTGTATAATAAAAAAAGTACCGAAAATTTTGAAAAAAAACCTGTTCTCCCTACGTTATGTTATAAAACATTTATTATTACCCAATTTTTTGGTAAAATATAAAAGACGGGGTCACGTCGGGTAAATAGACACCAAACATGTCAAGCTTTAAAATTGCGCACACCCGTTAAATCGCGAAAAACTACCATACTCAAAATTGACCATAGCCGACGCTTTAAAAGCTTTTACCACTCATCAGTTTAGTGTCATCAGTGAGTGATGACCCTAGAATTATTGCTCTCATTCCGACGTTCGCAGCGATTTGTAACATGTGCGCTGCAATGGATGTAGGAGGGCTTGACGCATGTTTGCGTGTGCGGGGGACTTAAATTTATTTTTTATTGCTTTGATATGGGATTTAAAACATTTTTTTTGTAAAAAATTTTTGTAAACCTTTTTTTTTTTCACTGAACTTTATTGCTATCACATAGGGAGCAAACAAGCAGCGGCGGCGATGGAGGTGGGGGGCGCACACCCGACCGCATATTACAAGCGATCGGGCGTCTCTACAGACGCCCGAACGCTTGTATGTAAACAGCCATCGCTGGCTGTTTACATTCAAAGCCGGTTTCCCGCTCGAGCACGCTGCCTAGGCGGGCACGAGCGGGACGGGATAGAACGTCTAAAGACGCCCACCCGCCCTCAAGAAGCCGTTGCTCGGCCGTTTTAATTACAACGGCCGGACAGCAGGTAGTTAAAGCAGAACTATGGGGGTTAGGGCTTTTCCCCATAGTTCTCCTAAGGGTAACGGGAGGACACAAACTAGCGACCTCCCGTCACCCAAAGCTCAGTATACCGCGAGCTACAGTAAGCGGTATACTGAGATGCCGCAGCTGAAACGGATCCCGACAATTATGTCTGGATCCACCCAGCTGCGTGATTGACAGCATTGAAAATCACTCACCTCATAGTTCTCCTTTTTAAAAGGTTATTAAACCCTCAAATTTTTTGTGCATATATCTACTGCTAGCTTCAACTTTTTGAAACAGGTTTACACTTACCTGTGTCTTCGCCGCACGCTCCCATCCGAACATCTGAAGAGTCTCGGCTGCAAAGGATCTTGGGGCGGGCACATGCGCACTTCAGATGTTTGGCCGGGAGACGAGGAGAGACACAAGGTAAGTATATGGAGCAGCGTGCACATGCACAGACTCCGTGGGACATCAGAGGAGAGGAGGGCAGAGGAGTCGGCGCTGGATCGGAAATCCACACCAGCGCTCGAGGGACAGCTGAAAAGGACAGTAAGGAAGAAGATGATCGGATTAAGAGGCATGATTTCAGGTAAGTCCTTACACTAACATTGGGGGGAGGGAAAAAATATATCCTTTAATGTCACTTTAAAGGCAGTTATACTTTAACCTAGAAATGCAGCACCTGGGTAGTCCTCTCCATTTTTGGGCTCTAAGTTAAACATTGTTTATGAAGCATGTTAACAAGTAAAATCCAATTTGAAGTCTTACAACTTTTTATCTCTTTATTAGGGATGCACCGATACCGATACTAGTATCGATATCGGTGCCGATTCAGAGTATTTGGGCAAGTACTCGTACTCGCCCAAATGCTCCGATGCCCGGTGGCGACTCTTTACACGCTGCCCGCCTTCCCGGCTAATCAGGAAGCCAGGTGGCGAGTTATTACACGCCACCTGGCTTCCTGAATGGGACTTCCGTTACTCGGTAATTATTATCGGCGAGTACCGGAAAAAAATTATCGGTACTCGTGCTTGGTACCAAAATACCGGTATCGGTGCATCCCTACTCTTTATAGTCCTGTACCCCCACATGTTGTTACTTATGAAAGATTTTTCCTAGGAAATGTCTCAAAATACCTTACACAGCAGTGGACTGTGATGGCAGAGCTATGTTTCAGTCACACCCCTCAGTATTAGAATCCTCACGCAGACTTGCATTGAAGAGAAGGGGATGGGGTGAGTTTGTCAAGGTCTGTTAATTTATAATTTGCACTGGGTGCACTCTGACTTAAGTTACACTTTAAGTCATTAGGTTTAGTGAATGTTCAAATAACACCAAAACAATTTGTCAGACTAAGTGTGTTTTTTCTTTTCTGCTCCTGTGTAGCACTTCTTTTTAGCTATCAAAGTTGCAGGTTGAACAGTGCAGCTCTAACATCATTTATATAACTCTCTGGAGTGTAGGTGCCGAATGCATAGTGCCCAGGTTAAGCACCAAATGCTCATGAATAGAACTAGTTCAATCCACTATTATTGACGCTAATGTCAACTGACTTTTTATGCTTCTGTGCTCGTAGGGTTCCATCAGTTTCTTAAAACTACGACAGGTCACCTTTGCTTTGCCTGCTTTAGGTGCCCGTTCACACCAAATTTGGAAGATAATCCTAAATCAATGGAGGGTTCGTTAACTTGCGATTTGTACCTTACAATTTCCTTCCGATCTGTTGCCTTGTGATCTGTTTTTCAATGGATGCTAATACCACGGCAACGAAAAATGATTGTGTATGAATGAGGCTAGTTCCTAATGCAGTGCTGCATTACGTTGCACTGCAAAAAGTAGTGCATGTCCTTTTGAATGGAGCGGTGTGAACTAGTCCGGTTCCCGCCCATTCATTTTTTGACTTCTTCTGTTGAATCACTTATTCTGATGTGAATGGGCCCTAAAGGAAAGTGATGGATGGAAGTAGCAACATTTTGCAGAAGGGTTATGTACACTTGAACTTCACTTTTCTTTTTAGAGGCTGGTTGCTGGAGCTGCTTCCGTTTTTTCCCCAGTTTTTTTTTTTAATGACAGGTTGATATAAAAGTCTTACCCTCAATATAATATGTTGTTGGAGAGTATACTGTCTTTTTTTTCTTTTTCTCCTTTTTTTTTTTTGCCTGACATCAGCAATTTACTTTGTATTTTTAGAAGTTGTGTGAAATGCAGATTTATGTTCAGTTCTTTCAAATGGTAATGTGTGCTGCTGTAAGTAAAGCGTGTATTATCGATTTTAATACAATGTTACTGAATCCTTGTCCTATAAAGTGCACCAGTACTCGGACTATAGACAATAAACTACATGATATTTACAAGCAGTAAAAGAGCTTTAAAAGTCCTCACTCATCTCTAGCTGTTCCTAATTTGAAGTTAAATATTCTCAAAGATCATAACAATGACTGAAGTCAGGTTTCAGTCCTTTTCTAAGTTTAGATACACCTGTTGTGTGGTTACACTAAGTTTGGAAGGATGCTTAGATAAGATCTCATAGAAAAATGTATGTAGATACTTTTAATATTCTGGGAACAGGTTTACGTTAAAGTGACACAAAATTCAGGCGCTAAGTCCTAAAAATGCATTCAACTATTACCCAAAACGTATCTTATTTGTGTATCACTCAGCTGTAGAAATCATCTCTGAATTGGTGCTGACACTGTCGTTCCTTCTGGGGGGGGGGAGGGGGCTTCTTTTGTTTCCCATGGTCCCTGTGTGTGTTGTAAAGTAGTCACCACTCCAAGCTCACTCCCGTGATGGATTACAATCCCAATACAAATGAGTAAACTAAACATGGTATTGTAGTCCAGTACAGGCATGGATCTTGGTGTATGCACATGGGTATGTATGATAAAAATAAATACTCTGTTGTAAGCTCAAGTAAATGAAAAGTAGTGGACAAAAAGGGAAGCTGCAAAAAAAGCAAAACCATAATTGTGGTATGTGCAAAAATGTGGACACCCTAATAAGACGGTCAGTCATTTAGTAAAACTGCCCCAGTCCACAACCGTCTTTTTTCTTCTTTTTTTCTTTTTTTTTTATTGAGTTAGAGCCTTTTAATTCTTGTAGGGATTTTCCCACTCTTCCCTACTGATCACTTTTAATTCCCAGATATTTTTGCACTGTCTTCCATGTGCAGTGGGGAAAATTTATCAAAATCTGGAGCAGCTGTGCATGGCAACCAATCAGCTTTTCTCTTCAGTTTGTTCAGTTAATATTTGAAAATGAAAGAGAGAAGCTGATTGGCTGCTATGCACAGCTGCTCCAGATTTTGTCTGCTCCAGTTTTATAAATACCCCTCAGTATGTTTTTAAGAGCTACCTTTTCTGGAAGTGTTGGATGCTGAAGTTTCTACTGAAGGCAATAGCACGTCTGCAATAAACTTTGCACATATGCTGTTTTTAACACACATTTTTCCTGCGGTAGTTGTTTACTACTTTTTCTCTACTAAACCATCCATACAGTATGTCATTTGACTAGGGATGCCCAAATTTTAGCATGCAACTATAGATATACATGCACGTTAGTGTTCATCCTCAACTAGCTTGTTTTTCTTATAACTGAAATTGTAAAACCTGTTCTGCATTTTTCAGGTTAGGCAACATATAAAAACCACATCCAGAATTCTATATATAATGTGCTTGAGAATAATTATTGCCTGCATATTCTTTCGTATACTCTCTTGCAGGCTATACACTTAATAACAGTTTTAAATGAGGATCTGTCATAGAAAGTTGCCTGTTCTCTCATGATATAGCCCTTATACAGCCCAGTACTGTAGAACGTGAACAGGAACAACTTTTTGTAAATATATATATA